TGTGTAGGACACGTCGCCAGAACGGTCGGTCATTGATGGTCAATAACTAAAGACGTAGTAGCGGATAAAGGCGAGAACACGCCCGCAAGGACGCCCGCCGTGGAGACGGAGCGATGAGTTCGGCTCGTGTGCTGGAGTGGGACGGATTGTCGCATCACAAGTCGGCGTGGGATGCCGGCGATGACGTGCGGAGACCACCGTGACTGAATACCTCACCAAAATTAAGACCGTCCAATCGGAAAGCATTCTTAAAATCAAGTTTCCCTCTTGAAGCCCCACGGTGTATCGTGCAGTCCCCATCAGTTGTCCACTCAGTGCCTATGAGTTGTTCGTCTGTCTGCTGGGAAGAACGGCCGCTGTCCAAGGAGAAGACGCCACCTGTGGTATGCGTTTCCTCTTCGGCGCACGGTGCTGTTAACGATACGCGTTGAATCATTGTGAAGACAAACACAGGAGGCTCTTTCTAAAGGGAAACTGATGAGCGCGTGGTTGTCGTTTGGTTGGACTGGCACCCACCACGTCAATGTGGAATTCCCACCAGGGGCCCTGAGTGGAGATAAGTACCAACGCTGGGAGACAATTTTGAGTTTATTTTTGGACGGCAATGTGCTTGTTACTCAATCGGGCCTGGCGTGACGCACGCAGGTGAGAGGCAAGCGACACGCAACGTCAGTCACCCGCCGCCCCCAGGTGATGAAATGTTCGCGCTGTGGACGGATTCCTGTGGACGGATTCCTGCGGCCGCCGCTGAATCCGCGCCAGACGTGACGAAGGAATTCCATCGCCTGCCTCAACCCCACGTCAGCGGGAAAGGAGGGAAGGGGGGTGGCTGGAGGGGAATGGGTGGGATGCCCCCACCTGGTGGGATGCCCCCATCCCCTTCTCAATGTTTCTAAGCAGGTGAAACGTGTTGCGAAAAATACGTTTCAAAATTCAGAGATGGAGCCAGGCAAAATGGAAAAACTAAAATAGTACACTTGCGTAATGGGCGTCGCAGACTTTCCTCGCGCGCACACAGGGGCTGAGAGCAGGGATCACGAGCGGCTCGGGCGGATTGCGCAGTCACTCTCTCCAGCGTATAATAGTTATTAACGTTTGTTTCACATTGAGGCCCAAAGTAATAAGTGGACAACGAGCCTCCTCGCCATATCTGTCCCTCTGGATAAAATATAACGGGAATATTTTACACATCCCATCAGCCGCACGGCCTTTTGGGGAGGTCACCCTACAGCAGCGCAGCCATGGCGGTGGTGGCGGCGGCGGCCTGGTCGCAGTGTCTCTGCGAGGTGACGCGTGAGCTCGTGATGAGCGCACAGGCGCCGTGTCCGAGCTTGCGGCCCACGCAGGTGAAGGAGGGCCGCTCGCGTGGCGCCCAGCGACTCGCCTGGGTTGCCCGCCACTGCTCCACAGGGCTGGCACGGCCTCGCTGCCGCCTCCAATGAGACGGTCAAGCCACCGACCGGCGTTGGTGACTGCCAAATAGCCTCTGAGTACCGCACGGATGGACGCGAGCGCGTCCCGCCCCCCCCCCCCACCCCCTGCGCTGCTCGCTGTGAACCCGCGAGCGATGGGACGCGCGCTCCCAACTCCGGTCGCCGTTCGCGTCCCTCACGCGAGACGGTAGCGGGACCCCCCCGGCACCTCGTGGTCATCGATCGCAGCACGTCGCTCGCGTCTCTGAACAACAACGGCCGTGGGACGACATCTTCAGCGACCGCTGAATCGGCGCACGGTTCCCCAAAGCAAGAAGTATTTTCTTGGCCGTCGGTGTGTCGTGACGCGCACGGGGAAATGTATTTGGCCGCTATCAAGCAGCTAATCCGTCGTGGTGGACCAAGGGGTTGTTTTTAACCATACTTCACCTTGCGGGTCAGTGTGTGGGTGGGTGGATGTGGGGAGCGGTAGTGTAGCGGTTAGCGCGCTGCACTACGAACCCGGCAACCGGAATTCGATTCACGCCCACGGCCAACATCAGTGGCGATTATCTGAACCGGTCATGGGCCTCCACTGGGGAGGCAAAGGAGTTTGCCACCCACCACATCGTGTGCCACCGTGCCGGCCTTCATAGGTGCTCGCTAATAGCACTTGCCCCAACAGTCTGTAAGGCTATCCGGGGGATTTTTGTCTTTGTGTGCCAGGACTGGTTAAAGGCATCACTTGCCCCTGGCGAGATCCCTCCCCTGTGTCTCGGCAAGGGTATATGATTACAGGTGAATACGTGACTTTACCGAAAGAACCAATAATATGTGTAACAAGAATCTAGTGCTCCAATGTATCTCTAAAAATTATATTTCCTCGACTGTTTGAAATGTATATGCCCTGTTCACTGGTTTGCATAACTACGACACAGAATCGTCCGTACAAAATACACGACGCCTTTGTGCATTCTGCACAAAGCCCATCAGCAGTCCCTGAGCAGTGCATTGTGCTCCTCTTACCAGAGGTGACTATAACAAAATGTATCAGTCTTGATTTGAAGCTTTCGTGACTGCAGGAATTCATACTCTTTGGTTCTTTCGGTAAAGTCACATGAAGTCAAGAGTAATATATATATACTGTATCTGCGCAAATGTGATCGACTTGTAGCAGCAGCAGAAATGATAGAGAGATATACAACGGTAGATGGGTCCCGTCTTCATTAGGATTCATCAGCGCAGTACAGTCACCAATGCTCACAGCTGCAGACTCTGGGAACCGTGTGTGTGGAGTGCCCACACTCCACACATTGGCATGATGGGGCCAAGTAACTTCTCAAATGCTGAATGCACAAAGGCCGAGTCCGCGTCGCTCACGTCGTTGTGTTGTTGTTGTTGTGAGACTCGAGATTTCCCGGCCTGTACTATTTGTCTGTTACGATTGTGTTTCTCGTCATTTACAGATTTGATTCCTACGGTGGTCCCCACGATCGCTACCTCTTGAGGGACAATCCTGAAGCTGATGGGGATGGCCGCCTCCTTTAAACCGAACCTCCTACAAATCCTCCGCGTTTGTGTCGGAAACCGCGGAGTTGCTCTCGTGAAAAGACTCGGCAAGTCACGCAATTTAACTTGCCTTCCGTTTTATTATTATTATTAGGTTCGCAGATGTCCTACTGGACTGTCTAACTGGACATCTATGAAAAAAAGCTTCACAAAAAGCTTGGATTCCTCCAGTATAAATACATATTCTGATGGTGATATTATTTTAGCTGAAGATGTACACGACCCTGACTCATCAGAGCGCCATGTCCGATTAATTCTCGTTACGAGCGTTTACAACATCTCTGGAGGGATGGTGGAGCGGACGGGTCGAGTACTTGAAGCGCCGAGTCTGCCGGTGCAGCCCTTTCCATTCTGAGCGAGACAGCGTCGAGCGGTGATGTCGAACCCGGCCGTGAGACGTCTCGAGCCAGCGGTGAGCACGTGGGCCTTCCCCCTTCGGCTCACAACGCTCGCCATTTCTCCGTGGAGAAATCACTCCTCGTCGCTCACTGAAACGTGGACATCAAACGGCAACCGCTGTTCGCTCAATCGCAGCGATTCCTCCCTGCTCCTATCGGCATCGAGCCACGCTCATTTCCTTTGGCGATCCTTAGCCAGTAGTGGAAATTCCACATTCCTATGACGGGGGACAATATATCCGTAGGACAGCCACTATTACATGGTGCTCATCATACACTAAATAGCTTTGCATCTCTGATGTTTTAAACATTTTCTTTAATGTCACTGTTTAATGCACAACTTTATTCCTGGCGTGGGAGTCTGGCCGGTAATTGCGTTTGGACACAAACGCGATTCCAAGGCAAGTGAATGTTCATTTTGCATTGATCTGTAGCACCTCTCTGGCATAAATCGACCATCCGCGGTGCTGTTACATGGAACGCATAAACAGAACACGGCACATATAATTGTAGAAAAAGTATAAAATCCATTTTTAAAAAATATATTTAAAAGCACGCAACACAGTTCCTAGATCAATTCCCAACCACCATCGCCACCACCTCGCCCCGCGACCATCCTCACGTGAGATAAGTGGTTGTAGCTTGGAGAGATGTGCGTTTAGTTGGAGCAGAGTGGGTTGAGAGCAAATACATCTGTTGGTCTGATTGATCTGTCGGAGGTTTGTGATGAACACTGGAGATTGGTTGAATAATGATTTTTATATTTAGCGAGATTTTGAACTGTTTTTGTACTTGGGAGGTAACTGGTCTGTGCGATGTGAGACGATGAATTTAAAAGTCTGAAGATGAGTAGCTGCTAAAAAATATACGTCTGCCAAAATACATCTCATTGTAAATAAAGCCGCACACTCTAAAATGTATTCCGTGTTGTTATTTAGTCACCGTGTATTTCGCCCCCGCTTCATTGTTTGTTTGCGGAGGGGAGGAGCGGGGGGTGTGGGTCTCTGCGCCCTAACCTGCGAGCCGTGAACCCGCTCTGCGAGTCGAGAGAGCCAACCCCAGCACGAGTCGCATGCGACACCGTCAATGATGCCCCCAGCCAAGATTCCACTCAGAGCCTCATTATCCCGTGATGCTGCTGCTGCTTGCTGCTGCGTTGGCAGTGTGCACAGTTAACGAAAACACCTTGACACGTTCGTTAATAACGCCGTGGCCTTTAAAGATAATAATAAAACAATAATTGGTGACGTTTCAGGCAATGCACTTCATTTACTATGAAAAAAAGCGCAATTGCTTAAAGCGTCACCTACTTGATCGTTTGCTTTTAAGACCACGCAGCGCTGTTGACGAATGTGTTGAGTGTTTTTTTTGTGTCAATTCATGGCCTGATTATTTATACCAGCTTTTCGTTCACAAGGTATATTATTGGTTGCGTTTGTGCGTACAAAATTTGACACGAGCGTAAGAACTCACTGTTTACACAGCCACTACATAGTTACTCTGCGATACATCACACGTCGACTGTCGTGATGATGGACCGCCAACAACTCCTCGTGACGACAGCGTCGTACCAACGTTTGATTAAAGTTCCCCGTTCAACGTTGGAAGAGCCATTTGGACACAATTCCATGACCACATTGTGATGTATGTATGTTGAACTTCTTTCGCATCGTACATAACCAACCGGCATAATCAGAGGTGATGTGACTCGTTTCAGAAGCTTTGACCAACGTGTGACATCGGTTGGAAGATTTGATATTTTTCAACTACGCAGGAGCGGCAGCATAGCGATGTCTACACTTGACTATGAACCAGCAACCTGAGTTCGGTTCCTGGCTATGGCTAGCAGCCGTGGTGAGTGACATCTGAACTGGTCCAGGGCCTCCCTTTCACTAGCCCACGCTGACCAGCGCGATGAAGTATGGTCAATAAACTCCCTTGACCTACACGGCATGGGGGAGGGCTTCATCCAGCATTGGATTGACAAGGGCTGTAATTGACAAGGGCTGCAATTGTAATAATTATATTTGTATACATCTGCCAGCACAACAAGTTAATTTTTTTATATATAAATGGTCATTATGTAAGCATCATATTGGCACTATCATTGCTATACAATCACACAACATAGTGCGTAAACACACCATTATCTGAAGGCAGACAGAGCAGTATAGATTGGGCAGATGGAACAGGCAACATTGACTCGCCAGCTTCTCAGCTTTTATTTTGGAGTGGTAAAAAAAACTACGGAAACAAAGCGAGAAGACTAATAACACTTGTATGCAGCAGGATACAGTGCTTAATCAGGTGGGTGGGTATTGTGATGATCACAATGCACAATGGAAGTCACGGCGTGGTGGCAGCGCTCGTCTTAGTTACTCAAACCACCGTGAACTACTGTGGCAGTCGAGCGTGGGAATATTCTCGTCTCTCGCGGTGGAAATTCACCATTCCCATGGCAGGACCTGTCTCTGTAGGACAACTGAAAGGATGGCCTTGAGACTCCGTACCAGTTCGAGTGATCGGCATTTTCTGTAGGTGACGTGAACGGTCTTTGTATCGAAGGGTGTGACAGATATTCCCTTGACCAGTGTGAGCTTTCGAGTCTGGAGAGCCGCGGGCACAAGGTTGCACACGCCGCGGTATGTGGACTTATTTAGTGTCGGCAAGAGAGACCAGGCAGAGGCAGAGAGACCAACGACTGACTGCATGAGAAGACAGGGGGCTGCTGAGACGAATCCACAATGGAAACTCCGACATCTTCGCTGCTGCGCGCCGTTCTCCTGTGTCTCTGCACAGCCCCATTGATATGTAAGACCCCTTTCTTCTCACGTTGCACGCCCAATGTAATACTCGTAGATGATAATCTATTGTTCTTTGCGTTAATGTTTTTACTTTAAAATAAATTGAAATGCAGAGTCAATTGCGCAAAATAAAGTACAACAGCGTGCAACGAATAGCGTAAGAAAAGTTAGATATGGGAAGGCGAGTGTGAGTAGATGTGTCTTGCACAGAGTACGGAATTGAGAGGACAATCGGCGCATTTTGGATGTCCGGTGGCAGGCAGCGGGGAGTTTCAGATTTTTAGGGCTGCGCTCGAGAAGACTTCGTCCCCTCAACGTCGGATGAACAATCCTGGGCTGGGAGAGTCTCGTCATTCTCGTGGAACGGAGTGTACAGAATGTGCCTGAGGATTGGAGGGAGATTCGGTTTTGCATATAGATCGGGGCCAAGCCATGCAGTGCTTTGTAGGTTCGGAGCCCAACCTTGAACTGGATGCTGAAGCGGACTGGTAGCCAGTGCAAGCTGCGGAGTGCGGGCGTAATGAGTTCAGATCGGATCATCCGCCGGATCATCCAGGTAGCTGAATTCTGCACTAACTGGAGCCTCTGCACCAATACCAGTGATAGCTCTGCGTAAAGGGCCTCTCTAGACGAGACTGTATCTCTAGGCGAGATTATGGGTCTCAAAGGGAGTCTGTGGGTCTCTAAGCAAATATGAGTCTGTAAGTGAATTTGTGGGTCTTTATGTGAGTATGTGGGTCTGTATGCGAGTATGTGGGTATCCATGCAAGACTGTGGCCCTCTCTGTGTGAATCTATGTGTCTCTGTAGCAAGCCGCTGCCAGTGTATTGGTTTCTCAATTAATCCACCCGCATGCATCATCACCAGCGACTTCAAAACTCGAGGCGGATTTTGTGGATCCCCAACCCAGAGTCCTGAACCACCACTGGTTTGATGTGGTACCACGTTCTTTGACAGGGCACTTGACTGCAGGACAGGAGACGGTGATGATTCCCTTTCACTGATGGAATGGCATGCTGCCCGCTGCCTGTCCATCACCGAGTTATTTAATCAGCGATCCTCTTTGCTGCATTGATCTTGCTTTGGGTGTGCTATGTGTCTTGCGAGGGGGAAAATTTTTCTTATTGTATTGTATTACCGTTGTCTTGTTGAGCTTTGTGAGCATCAACGACGCTATATGCAAAATACATCATTACCAATAGTTCAGCTGCAGTGTTAAATGCTGCATCGTAACAGCTCTACAAATTAAATAAAAACATACGCACCAATGTAACTGCTACTCGCCACACGTCCCATTACTCAACATTAACCTGCAGATTACTCGGTTGGCTTCACACAGCCGCAGCAGCGACATCTCCTCCCTACTGCGACGAACTTGGCAGGAGCCTCCTGAAAAAGAGCCGTAAGACTCGGCGAGGTTATCTTAAGTAAACAAACAAATATAATAACAAAAGTTATAAAAATGAAGTGCAAGTGCATGCATGTAGCTCTACCCCACGCGTATGTAGCACTACCCCACCTCACATGCATGTAGCTCTACCCCACACGTATGTAGCACTACCCCACCCCATATGCATGTAGCTCTACCCCACACGTATGTAGCACAACCCCACCCCACATGCATGTAGCTCTACCCCACACGTATGTAGCACTACCCCACCTCACATGCATGTAGCTCTACCCCACACGTATGTAGCACTACCCCACCTCACATGCATGTAGCTCTACCCCACACGTATGTAGCACTACCCCACCCCACATGCATGTAGCTCTACCCCACACGTATGTAGCACTACCCCATGCCACATGCATGTAGCTCTACCCCACACGTATGTAGCACTACCCCACCCCACATGCATGTAGCTCTACCCCACACGTATGTAGCACTACCCCACCTCACATGCATGTAGCTCTACCCCACACGTATGTAGCACTACCCCATCCCACATGCATGTAGCTCTACCCCACACGTATGTAGCACTACCCCACCTCACATGCATGTAGCTCTACCCCACACGTATGTAGCACTACCCCATCCCACATGCATGTAGCTCTACCCCACACGTATGTAGCACTACCCCATCCCACATGCATGTAGCTCTACCCCACACGTATGTAGCACTACCCCATCCCACATGCATGTAGCTCTACCCCACACGTATGTAGCACTACCCCACCTCACATGCATGTAGCTCTACCCCACACGTATGTAGCACTACCCCACCTCACATGCATCTAGCTCTACCCACACGTATGTAGCACTACCCCACCCCACATGCATGTAGCTCTACCCCACACGTATGTAGCACTACCCCACCCCACATGCATGTAGCTCTACCCCACCCAGGCATGGAATTTCTGGCGACTGCGTCTTAGGGAAAATTACGATAATCATAAGCTACGTTCTTCAAAGTCACGTGATGGAAGGCTACGTCCAATTCAAACCGAGTACCTATCTGTCTCTGGACAATGTCTAATAACCAAATCATATTTGATTGCATGTTTTACCACAAGTATGTGTGGTTATTGCAGAACTGATGCCTTGTAATAGATGTCTATCAGGTGTTTCAACATCTTAACACCTCCTGTATTATTGGCAGAAAATTATGGATTTTGGGCTCATATATGGTGTAGCCCCTATTGGAACACACATTTGTTTGCATAAGACATTTGCTTTCCCAGTAAATTTTGATAACAAGAACTAAAAAGACACTCAAAAAAATAGCGAAACTTGTTTCTTTCACCCTGCTTCTAATTTCGTATGAATTTCAAACATTTGCAAGTGCCTTTGATACTTTTATTGAAGGGGATTGTCTCTACTAGTGTAACTATACGTCAATTTAATCGTTGTTCTTCATGAAAATTGTCTTAAATGTAAGTCTCTAACTCTTATCGTCAACTCTGTCTCCGACTTCTCCGTGTGCTGTGAAGGGCCATCGGCTGCAATGTTACCTGATGTCTACTATACCTGTTGTCTATTCCTGTTGTCTACTATACCTGTTGTCTACTATACCTGTTGTCTACTATACCTGTTGTCTACTATACATGTTGTCTACTATTACTGTTGTCTACTATACCTGTTGTCTACTATTCCTGTTGTCTACTATTCCTGTTGTCTACTATTCCTGTTGTCTACTATTCCTGTTGTCTACTATACATGTTGTCTACTATACCTGTTGTCTACTATACCTGTTGTCTACTATTCCTGTTGTCTACTATACCTGTTGTCTACTATTCCTGTTGTCTACTATTCCTGTTGTCTACTATTCCTGTTGTCTACTATACATGTTGTCTACTATACCTGTTGTCTACTATTCCTGTTGTCTACTATTCCTGTTGTCTACTATTCCTGTTGTCTACTATACCTGTTGTCTACTATACCTGTTGTCTACTATACATGTTGTCTACTATTCCTGTTGTCTACTATACCTGTTGTCTACTATACCTGTTGTCTACTATTCCTGTTGTCTACTATACCTGTTGTCTACTATTCCTGTTGTCTACTATACCTGTTGTCTACTATTCCTGTTGTCTACTATTCCTGTTGTCTACTATTCATGTTGTCTACTATACCTGTTGTCTACTATACCTGTTGTCTACTATACATGTTGTCTACTATTCCTGTTGTCTACTATACCTGTTGTCTACTATTCCTGTTGTCTACCATTCCTGTTGTCTACTATACCTGTTGTCTACTATACCTGTTGTCTACTATTCCTGTTGTCTACTATACCTGTTGTCTACTATACCTGTTGTCTACAATTCCTGTTGTCTACTATACCTGTTGTCTACTATTCCTGTTGTCTACTATTCCTGTTGTCTACTATTCCTGTTGTCTACTATACCTGTTATCTACTATACCTGTTGTCTACTATTCCTGTTGTCTACTATACCTGTTGTCTACTATACCTGTTGTCTACTATACCTGTTGTCTACTATTCCTGTTGTCTACTATTCCTGTTGTCTACTATACCTGTTGTCTAATATACCTGTCGTCTACTATACCTGTTGTCTATTCCTGTTGTCTACTATACCTGTTGTCTACTATACCTGTTGTCTACTATTCCTGTTGTCTACTATACCTGTTGTCTACTATTCCTGTTGTCTACTATTCCTGTTGTCTACTATTCCTGTTGTCTACTATACCTGTCGTCTACTATACCTGTTGTCTACTATACCTGTTGTCTACTATACCTGTTGTCTATTCCTGTTGTCTACCATACCTGTTGTCTACTATACCTGTTGTCTACTATACCTGTTGTCTACTATTCCTGTTGTCTATTATACCTGTTGTCTACTATACCTGTTGTCTACTATACCTGTTGTCTACTATTCCTGTTGTCTACTATACCTGTTGTCTACTATACCTGTCGTCTACTATACCTGTTGTCTATTCCTGTTGTCTACTATACCTGTTGTCTACTATACCTGTTGTCTACTATTCCTGTTGTCTACTATACCTGTTGTCTACTATTCCTGTTGTCTACTATTCCTGTTGTCTACTATTCCTGTTGTCTACTATACCTGTTGTCTACTATACCTGTTGTCTACTATACCTGTTGTCTATTCCTGTTGTCTACCATACCTGTTGTCTACTATACCTGTTGTCTACTATACCTGTTGTCTACTATTCCTGTTGTCTACTATTCCTGTTGTCTACTATACCTGTTGTCTACTATACCTGTTGTCTACTATTCCTGTTGTCTACTATACCTGTTGTCTACTATACCTGTTGTCTACTATACCTGTTGTCTACTATTCCTGTTGTCTACTATTCCTGTTGTCTACTATCCCTGGCGTCTACTATCCCTGTTGTCTACTATACCCGTTGTCTACTATACCTGTTGTCTACTATTCCTGTTGTCTACTATACCTGTTGTCTACTATTCCTGTTGTCTACTATCCCTGTCGTCTACTATACCTGTTGTCTACTATACCTGTTGTCTACTATACCTGTTGTCTACTATTCCTGTTGTCTACTATACCTGTTGTCTACTATACCTGTTG